CAAATTTTTACAAGACAAGGTCAAATATTTAGGTTTTCTAATTTCAAACGATGGGATTAAGGCTGATAGCAAGGGGTTAGAAGCTATACAAAATTTTCCGATCCCAGGCAAGGTGCAAGCAGTTCAAAGCTTTTTGGGTCTTTGTTCATATTTTCGACGATTCATTAAGGATTTTTCTATATTAGCGAAACCATTATATGATTTATTAAGAAAGGATAGGCTTTTTAGGTTTGAAGAAGAAGAGTTGAATTGTTTTTCGCTTTTAAAGGCAAAGTTAATGGAAGCGCCAGTGTTAGCTTTATATGATTACAGAGATGATGTCGAACTTCATTGTGATGCAAGTGCCTTAGGATTTGGGGCTGTGCTTCTTCAGAAAAAAGATGACAGCAAGTTACATCCTATTTTCTATTTTTCGAAAAGATCAACTGCAACGGAAGCGAAGTATCACAGTTTTGAATTGGAGACTTTAGCTATAATATACGCGTTAAGAAGATTTAGAATATATTTGCTAGGCAAACGATTTAAATTGTAACAGACTGTAACTCTCTAACTTTAACCCTCAATAAGATTGAGTTGAACCCAAGAATAGCAAGGTGGGCTCTAGAGCTGCAGGAATTCGATTATGAATTAAAGCACAGAGCAGGCAGACAAATGCAACATGTAGATGCATTGAGTAGATGCAACAATATTATGATAGTGGAGGCAAATACATTCGAAACAAATTTAGTAATTTGTCAATCAAAAGATGTAAAGGTTCAGGAAATTAGGAGAATGTTAGAAAGTAACGAGCATAAGTTATATGAAATGAGAAATGGTGTGATCTATAGGAAAAGCAACGACAACAGATTATTGTTTTACGTACCGAATCGAATGGAGGAACATGTGCTATACAAGTATCATGATGAAATGGGTCATATTGGGAGAGATAAAATGTTAGAAGTTATTGGAAAGAGCTATTGGTTTCCACGCATGAAAGATAAAGTCGTGGAACACATTCAAAATTGCTTAAAGTGTATAGCGTATGCTCCGAAGGTAGGTAGAGGAGATGGACATTTACATAGCATACCAAAAGGCAACAAACCTTTTGAGATCATTCATATAGATCATTATGGGCCGGTAGATAGTAGCAGATCAAAAAAGCATATATTTGTGGTCGTAGATGCATTTACAAAGTTTGTTAGGTTGTACACAACAAAAACGACAAATACAAAAGAGGTGATAAATGCATTAACAGACTATTTTCGAGCTTATAGTATACCTAGATGCATAGTATCAGATCGGGGCAGTTGTTTTACATCGTCTGATTTTGCAGAGTTTATGGAAAAAAGTAATGTGAAGCACATAAAAATAGCGACGGGCTCGCCGCAGGCTAATGGCCAAGTTGAACGAGTCAATAGAAGCCTAGGACCTATGATAGCAAAATTGACAGAACCGGAAAAGGGATTACATTGGGATAGAGTTATGGAAAAAGTAGAGTATGCAATGAATAATACAATTCATAATAGTACTAAGCAGTGTCCTAGTGAAACATTATTTGGGATAAGACAGAAAGGAGAAGTTTTGGATAATCTAAAAGAAAGATTAGAAGACGAAAATGAGTTAGGAAATATTAGAAAAACCTTAGAAGATGTTAGAAAAGAAGCAGAAGAGGAACAAATGAAATCTCAAATAAAGAATGAAAAATATTATAATGCAAAAAAGAAAACTGCTACAGAATATAAAGAAGGAGATTATGTTATGGTAAAGAATTTTGATAGCACTGTAGGAGCTTCGAGAAAACTCATTCCAAAAAGTAAAGGTCCTTATGTAATTGAAAAAGTTTTAAAAAATGACAGATATTTGCTTAAAGATATTGATGGGTTTCAGTTGTCTCGCAATCCATATCAAGGTGTTTGGAGTGCAAATAATATAAGACATTGGTTAAAACTGTAATTAAGATAGTAAACTAAGAATTGAATTGTAAATGAAAATCAAATTGTAAATAGTAGTTAAGTTATAATTCTAAGCAGAGATAGAGGGCTATCTCAAAGTCAGGACGGCCGAGTTGTAGCAGGCCAGTTAAGATAAGTATGCTCTGGCCACTCTAATTGAGATGTTACGCTCTCTCAAAAGAGAACATGAGAGAGCGACTGGCTAAGAATGGGGGTTGATTGAGTGTTTGCTGAGAGCGGCAGATCACTTGGTGAGAAGATCGGAACGAGAGTAGACGTGTAAAGACAAAAGTGTAAAGACAAGAGTGAAGAATAGATAAAACCAAGTATAAAAGTTTAGGATTAAATAATAAAGAAATATTAGTAAGAGAAGAAAAGAACAAGAAGTGTTTAGAACTAAAAGACGGCCACACAATTTTCAAAAATTGCTTTTGGTTTTGCTTGTGGGAAAGTACTGAAACTGGTTTTTGATGGTCAAAAGAAGGGCTCTGTGGCCTGGGAAACAAAAAACAAAACAAAAAAAGAGCCAGCAAAGTAATGAAAAGGATCAAATTGTGCTGAAGCATCGCGAGCATCGAGGGAACAATGTGGAGATACACAGAGGGGCACAACTGATTATCGGAGCACTTGAGAGCATCTGCTCCGTCTCCATCCAAGTCCGACTCTCCGGCTGCCAAAAACTTGGCAAGACAGGAGACAAAAGGCAACAACATGGAGCCTGCTCCTCATCCTCATCCTCCTTCATCTGTCCATCAAACTGAACTGAACCTAAGCCAGTTCTTGGAGCAGCTGGCGACTGGCCAGTGAATCCCCCCACTGCCATCGCTGCCTTTTGGCCGACGGGCGATTAAAAGGTGATTTCCTGCCTTTTGTTTTGCAATTTTCAGCAATTTCGCTTTATATTTCGGCAACGGCCTGCCCATTAATGATATATAAACATACACAAGCTACGATGACGACGATATATGGATATATATATACGAGAATGTGTGCTGCTCTGAGGTCCAGCGAAAGCGGCTTAAGCTGCCCGAGTGAACACTTAATCCCCTTTTGGTACTTAAAGGAGTCTCAAGGGTATATTGGTCATTGGGTAAGAGCGACTAAAGATGCTTCGAAATCGATGCCAAAGGAGTGTGCCTGAGTTATGGCCCAGAAATGGCTTTAATTACCAAACCAAAGCAATGAAAGAGTGTCATTTAAATAAAAGTAATTAAAACATCTATAAAATCTATAAAAAAATGTTTATTAAGACAAGTTTCTTTGACAGCTTAAACAGTTTTTTGATAGAAAAAGTAGGACTCATTTGGGATTAAATACAAAACACTTTTCCTTAATATTCATCGATTTCTTGAACTGGAAAATCCCTAAAATCTCAATTTCAAACCCATTCAAGGGGTAAAGCACATTCTTAACCCTCAGATTATATCTTATATTTTTTCTTAAATTTCTATTTCGCCCTTTTTGAGACTCTCTCGCCACGTAATTGCTTTAGCTTTAGCTTGTGGAAATTTCCTTCGCTTTTGTGGGCGAACCAACCAAGACACAAAAGCCGAAATATACAATTTCCCACCGAGCAAGCGAATTTTGCTGGCAAAATAATTCCTCTAAGCAAGCAAATTTCGCTAAAGCTAAACTTCAAAGTGGAGTGAATAAAACGCTGAAGGAGCTGAGAAGTCGAGAAACGAGATCAAAACAGGTGGCAGCTGAACCAGTTTTGATGGCATTTTTTCTCCCCGAAAGCAAAGGGTATGGGAATGGATGAGCGGAGGGTAAAAAGGGCCCCACTGACACATTTTGTTGATGGTCGAATGACGACGTAACCGCACTCGCTTTTGCCGTATTCCCTTGCATCCATATTGGAGCGGACTACCCGACGCATAATCCTTTTAATGAAGCAACCAGGAGCTTGTTACTGGCTCCTGCTCCTGCTCCTGCTCCTGCTCCACCTCCTGTTTGCTGTGGCTTTACCTGTTAACAGCAGCTGCCTTTTGTTTCACTCCAAGTTGCCCCATTGTTGCCTCGCTTGATAGTTGTTTTTCCTGCTCCCCCGCTGCTGCTATCCCTTTATTGACATTAATTATAATTAAGAAGGCAGTGGGTGTGCGTATGTGTGCCCTACTGAAATCCTTCAGCTGCAGATCCGATTTCTGACTGAACTGAGCTCCTGTTCGGAGTTATTTCCCGTCATTCACTCTAAGCCTGACACGAGTGTCCGCCCAGGCTGCAGGCCACCTTCCACATGGATGCCAGGACACTGACGAAAGGATGCCACTGATCATGGCTTCATTTGCAGCAATCTCTTTATGATGCGCCCGGGCCCCAGGATATTAAGGCATTGAACGTGAAGGCTAAGTGGCTGCCAGGCAGGCCAGGCCCGACTTTGGCATTAAATATTAAATACGACAACGTCCTGCGGTGCGTATGAGTAATTTGGGCAACGTATGTGGCAGGCCATTAAAACGCAGAAGGGCAAAGGGGGCCAGAGTCAACCTCCCCACTCGTTAGCACATCATGTCGCTTACAGTCCTTCGTCTCCCCAAAAACCAAAAGCCTTCCCAACCAGGCTCGCTCACCTGGCGGGATGGTTGTATAAAATAAGGCATAAAACGGCCAGATAATGCTCCGCCAGGTTGGCGGTCGCTTTATGGGTCCCGCACTTAAAGCGAAAACAAAACAAAGCGGCGGCTCTCTTTTGGTGGCCATAAAAAAGCACACAGAGAAAAGGTATAACTCAGTGGCATTTTCTTCACAACTTGAATTATTCATAACTTGCTCACTGAGGAAAAATGGAAGCGATTGATTAACTGACAAAGGAATTATTACTATTGAATAAAGGAGCCTCCATTTATAAAAACATAGATTTTTTAGAGTTTCCCGGAAACAAATTTACTAAATGTTTAATCAGAGATTTTGTCAATGAAGAAATTGTGTTAAATATTTAATATCCAGTACCACAACATCTTTTGTCAATTAGCCACCCAATTAGTTGACATTTTTTTGCCCAGTGCATTGCCTTTTACCTTGGCCATTGCGTGCTTATCTGATCATTAGCATAAAGTGGGTACTCACCTCCTGGCTGGCGGCTTCCTGACTGCCGCTCTCCTCCTCCACGCTGGCCGAGCTGCGCTCCTTGGGATCCTTGTGACGCCGCTCGAGCTTGACAAGAGCGTGCTGGAAGTCCTGCTCCTGCTGCAGCATCTCCTCGCGCAGCTCCTGGACATAGACCTCCGTCTGCTGCTGCCGTTCGCGCTGAGCGGCCAGCTCGAGTTTAAGCTGCTGATAGTCACTTCGGATGGTGGCCAGGTCCTCGAAGGTGGTGCTACGCTGCTGCACATCCTTGGCCACATTGCCGGCAGTGCGTTGCAGATCCACCAGCTGCTTGCGAATCTCGGAGATTGTCTGCTGCAGCCACTCGACGGTTAGGCGCTCCTTGTTGCCACTCTGCGAGGACCGGAGCGTGGCCAGTTCCTCCCTGAAAACATTGTGGAAAAAAAAACGTCTCTAATTAGCAGGAGGTAAAACGATTAAGCGTAACAATTTAATTGCTCGTACATTGGAACGGCCTGACCAGCAAATCTAATTTAAATTGACATTTTCGGGCTGTCGGCTAACTTAATTGCCAATGCGGCCTGCATGCGGTTCACTAATGGGATTTCGCAGCCAGGACACTGCGCTCTGGCGGGATGTGGCGCTCAATTTCCATGCAGCACTCAAATTAAACACTACAAAATTATTTCAAACATTCGTTGAAAACAGAACACAACAAAAATCACACAAGTCATTCGGAATACAAACTTTCAACAAGGAACATGCCGCAAAAAACAACAACAACATTGCTTAAATGTTGAAAATGAAAATGTTATAGCACTTGTGGCAGTTGCAAGTTGCTACTACCAAAAAAAAAGCAAGAAGCTCCAAAAACAGGACGCATTTTTGTGGCATTTCAGACAATTAAAGTAGTCAGTTGGAAGGAAGCTGGAAGCTGGAAGCAGGAACAGAACCAGAAGCGGAAACGGAAGCAGCAGCAGCAGCAGCAGCAAAAGGAGCTCAACAAATTCGGGGCGTAGGTAAAAAGTTTTGTTTTCGGGAGGCAGCGACAGGCAGTCGCTGTTGTTTTATTTTCTACTGTCAAAAGCGCACACACACACACACACAACATGAAATTTTCATATAAAAATAAAGAAGAGCAAGAAAATCGGGGGAACAAAAAAAATAAAATAAAAGAAATATAGAAAGAAGGAAAAGTTTTCTGCGCTTGGCCTGATGTACATACATCACATTTGGTTGGGTTTTTATTTCGGTTGCGTATACGTAATATTTCAAATTGTTGCATTGCATTGTGCGTGTGTGCGTGTGTGTGCGGTCGGTGGGTGTTTTTTGTTAATTTTATGACTTGGCAAAGTTTTGTGGCCCCGGCCAGACAGAAAGAGACAGACAGACAGCCGGCAAAATGTGGGTAAAGTTATGATTCCCCCCAGCAAGGGTTTCGCAATATCCTGTTTGTTGTTTTCTATATATATACATCATATACATACATACATATGTATGTAGGAGAGCAACGTAATTACTTAAATATTTAATTAAAATACGAGGTCCAGACCTCGGGGCCTCGAGTAGAGTTTAAAAAGTTTTTGGGCGCATTAAATGCGTAAACTGCCCTGAAACTTGAAAAATAAACATTGTCGGAAATACAATTGCTTTTTTAAGCATATTTTAAAGCCTCGCAAATGTGCATTACTGTTCAAAACAATTGCTACAACAGACGCCCGATGGCCAAAAACCAACAGGACTCGTGTATTAACCTTCTCTGCTGTTATTTTTTGTATTTTTTTTTGTGAACTCTCCTGGCAATTTTTCGCTTGACTGCTGCTGCACAACACTCGCCTCGCCCTCCCGCCCGGAAATACACACATAGGAAGTAACACAAAAAAAAATAAATAAAGAAACAAAAAGAAAACATGGCAAACTGGGCTGTCATTCAAGTGAAAATTGAAAATGCTGTCAATGACATTCGAGCAAATTGAAAACGCAACATGAACATTGCAATGCCGAACTTCATCGGCCCTGATTTGATGACGCCTGATTTCGTGTAGTCCTCATTTTAATTACCAAAATGGATGCAGTGCCGCCACTTTCATTCGCAGTCACTGCGAATGTTATCGAATTTACTCAAATCAACATAGCGCACACGGGACAGGACACGGGACAGGACACACGCTAGTGCGCCCAATCAGATAATGATGTTGTCCTCCAAAGCTTGGGGTTAGGCACTGGCATTCTAGGACGATTTCACTGGTCCAGGTGAATAGGGACTCGTGGAACGACGGCGGTTTGTGGGGGCGGTGGCGATAGAGGATCACATAAACCACAACTGACATGACGTTTGACTGGCGTTTGCCTTGGGAGTTCCTGCCCTTATACATTTATGTGAGTGTCTGTCCTGTCTGGAAACACATACTCCAACGTGTTCGTGAAACAAGACACAGAGGCAAAAATCTAGCTAACTTTGGGATAGGTAAAAAGAAAAGGTAGTAAATAATAAATAAAGTCAGAGTTTTGGGAGGGAGCTTTGGAAAATTGATATATACATATATATTTAAATGGTAGTAAGTCATGTCCTACAGAGAGATGGAAATAGGTAAGAAAGGAACTCGACTTATAAAGAGGTTTATTCTTCATCCCATGACTACAATTGGCAGATTAAGGTGCTGTTTACTGTAATCCTTTCAAAAAGTCATACTATCATATACTTTATACATAACTTTAATGGAATTCCATGATTGAAAAACTTCAATATAAGTTCTTACCTTCTTTTTGTGGAAGTTAATTTAATCCCCACACAATTTATCTATCAATTCTTTAATTTCCTAATGAAGGAAACATCTATTTTCTCTGCATGTGGCTGACATGAGCGTGTGTTGAATTATTTACGGTGTCACTGACAAAGTTTACGATGTCCACGACAGCAACAACAATGGTCTAACCTTAGCTATTTGTACAGTAAATTAAGAGTGTGCCATTTTTACGTATTTTTTACGCTGCCACAGACACAAGGCTGGCCAGCGTATTTCCACGGAGATACTCGTATTTCCGGTTCCTAAACTGATATATGTGAGTGTGTATGGTGTGTATTCTGTGTGTGTGTGAGTTCTGCTCGATGAGACAATCATTATTAGTCAGCCCATGACAACAAAACAAATCACGAATGCTACGCAAACTTGGGCTGGGCTTGTGGCTCGTGTCTTTGCTCTGATTAGATGTCTTATCCTGTTCCCAAACTCCTCCTTGCTCATATATTTGTCTGAATTAAGTTGGACACAATCATGTCCCGCATTCGAATTCCTTTCTTCATTGCACTGACCTCGGTCTTGGTTAGTAGTGGAAGTGGTTGTGGTGGGGGGAAATGTATGAAAATGTTAGGAAAAACTCTACAACAATATCAGTTCATTATCTCGCTATCAAAATAAGCAGAATAATCATATCATCCGTCTGGGAAAGAAAAACATGCAGGTCATTACGAGACGCACAGATATCTAATAATGAAGCGTAAAGATAAAGTAGAGTAAAGAAAACAAATCTGCTTGTAATTAATTTACAAGATAAATATGAATAGTTGGAATTTTAGTTAATTAAGCAAAATATTCCAGATTTCTTTTAATTACTCGACGACTTAATTCAATTTGAAAGACATTTTAATTTGCAAAAGGAAAAAGACTTTTCTCTGGACAAATTGGATGACTAAAAACTGTTGCCTGCTTTTGAGGGCCATAAATTCGTTGGCCAAAAGTTGCGCGACAAGTTGTACGTGACAGCGGTAAAGTTTCGAGCCAAGTTTCGAGCGAGACCAATTGACCAATGGCAAGTCGGTCCTCCGCCCTAATTAACAATTCAAATTCGATTGGGAACCGGGAGCTAGCGAGCTCAATTTTGGCGGGACAGGTGGGCGTGCGTTTGACTTACCTGAGCTGATTCAGTTCATCGCGCAGGCCAGAATCGGCGCTGGCCGCATTCGTGGTGAGCCGCAGGGATTTGCGCAGGTTGTGCTCCAGCATCTCGTAATCCTCGCGGCGCCGCAGCATCAGGGCGCCGAGCTGTTTGGTCAGCAGGCGCACCTGGTCGCCCAGTGCCTTCTGCTCTCGCGAATCCCGCTCCTGCTCCTCATCGCGCTCCTCCTCTTCATCCTCCACAAAACGGAGCAGCTCCACGCTGGACTCTGGCGCCTCCGTTTCCGTTTTAGGCTTGACATCCTTCGATGAGGCGGTGGCCTTGGTGGCATCGCGCAACATGTTGTTCACGTCGCTGAGCACCACCACCGTGCCACTGGTAGCCGACGTCGCTGCCGTCGCCGCCAGGCAAACGACCTGCAGGATCACCGTCGCCAGCAGGATTAGCCGCAAACCATTTGAGCCTGCCATTGTTGCAGGGCAATTTAGATGCTCACGCGAAGGCTTTGCTTTGCTTTCCCTTCTCGGTTGCCACGGAATGTTTTTGGGGGTAATAACAAAAAAGAAAGGACTCGACTTAGACGGGCACGGGAACGGGCACAGGCAAGGGCGATTTATGCAAACGACTGGCACGCATACCGCCGACACACAAACTTTGAGACTCGAGACTTTCCGGCTTTCCGCTTTTTCGCTTTTCCGACTTCCCGGCGGCGTGACAGTCAAACACCTTATAAAAAGGCGCTGGGAAACAATGCTACAATTATTCCTGTAGCTCGCCTCGGGCTTAATCCGCTTTGTTTTCGTTTTCGCTTTAAACACTTTGTTGTTGTGGCCAACCGACAGTTCGCACCAAGCACTAAAGCACTTCCGGTTTATTTCCCAAGGTATGTTTTCAAGGCGAGTGGTAGTTTTTGACTGAAGCGGCGCGTCGGATGCTCCTCCTTATATAGGGCCACGAGGCCGACGCCTCGGCAGAGGTCGGAGCTCGACGAGAGAGAGCACACGAAGAGTTCAAAGGGAGCACGAAGTGGTTGCTCGCACCTGTGCCGAGGAAGTGTAGTGGCGAGAGAGAGAGCATGCAACAAGCAATCGAAGGGAGCTGATAAGAGAGAGCGCTCTTAAGAGAAGAGAAAGTGAGTAAGTGGCTGCCGAGAATAACTTATTGTTATTGTTAAAGATCATCTATGTATATTTACTCTTCGCTCTAGTAAACAAAGAAAAAAAAAAAAATACAGAAAGCAACTCAAAATGGCGGACAGCCTATTTCCCCTGCCTTTTGCCACTCTTTTCTTATTTATTTTTTCTTTCCCTGCTCCTGACACATGGCGCGCTTGCGGTGAATGCACAGCAACTGCAACAACAACAATAAGAAACAACAAAACAACAACGACAGACTGCATTGCAAACGGCAGATGTTTAGGCCCCAAAAGGCAGACGTAAAAGTGCGAAAACATGTTGACGTGCTCCGAAAAAGAAACAGTGGAAAAAAGTCATCGGTGAAGCAGTAGAAGATGAAGCGAAAGAAGCAAGCTGAAAGGTGGCTACAAGGACCTGAAGGAATAAACATAGCATAGCGCGAAACAAAAGGAAAATGCAGCAGGAAAACGTAGCCTTTGTCTACGATATCTTACGTAGGCAGCAGCTGCGGAAATAATAATTGGTTCTGATTTCACATCAAAGGTGCATTCAGGGTTTCCTATCCCCATTTGCTGGAAAATACCTCCCACAAAGAAGTCGTAGGTAAGACTAGTTTCCATTCTGTGAATTTGTTTCAGAATTTAAGCTGCCATTTATTGAGTATCTCTTTAAATATAGAAAAGGTTTAGTTATTAGTCGAACTTAGAGTATTAAAAATAATCCTATGTTTCGGAAGATTAAATGAAGAGAAAGTATTTAAATAAGCTGTGGCTAGATCGGTTAGCCTGCTGCTGCTGATTGGATAGCCTTGCTCACTGCATTTTAATCCTCTTGTAAGAAGAGATAATACCATTCATGAATATTACTTAAAAAAATTACAATGTACAATAAAAAATTGTTTAACCATTTAAGCTTTTTCCATCTCATACAAACCCAAATCTTTATTTTGTTTTTACTTTTAGCCTTGCCATCCTTTTTATAGGCCAGGATTAGTGGGAGGACATTCCGATGATATTCTGTGGCGAAAAACGCCGGAAAAAGGTTTCAAAGTGCATACGGTCGCAAAAGTCAGTGGCAAAAAAAGGGAGCAGTAAGGCTATTGAATTGGTCGTAAGCCCACAATTCCTGCATTGTTGCAACACGGCTATAAGGGAAAGGGGCGAAAAGGGCTTCCCACATAGGCCGGGAAAATGGTAGAGCTTAAAAGAGGAAAAGTGCGACAGAAATATGCCAAAAATGGCGCCTTACGCACCGAAAAGAGCGTTGTAAGCTATGCATTTTTACCAGTTTTCGTTCCCTATAAATATAATGGGGGTGAGGAGGTGAAGGGGGGGTCAGGGGTCAGCTGAATGGAGTGCACGCTTCGCTGAGCAGGCTAGGGGGTGGGGGGTTGGAAAAAGGGGTACGTAAGTGAGTAAGTGGGCGAGGGGGGTTGCAACAACAGTCTGCCATTGCGGGCACTTGCCGGCACTGTATTGCAATTTGCAATATTTTTATACCCTCGCAAAAGGAGGTATTACATGTTTTTTGAGCTGCTTATTATTTTGAGGAAAAGAAACTCTCAATCAACCCAATAAAGATTACATTTTTTAAACCGTGCAGCTTCGATAATGTAGAAGGTTGAGATTCTTGTTGATTACATCGTCAATAAAGGATTTCTAGGCTGTCTTAGAATAAAAAGCCTGTAAATTATATTCAAGTTTATCTATAAAACAAGAAAGAAAGCTAACTTCGGCACGCCGAAGTTTATATACCCTTGCAGATAGAACTTCTATGAATAGGAATCCATACAATGTAAATTATATATATTTATGTTAAAAAACAATGAAGTAATAGCTGCTTTCATTTCATTCACCTATACATATTATATTTGCAGTTTTACATACACAGATTTGCATTTTTCCTCTACATCAAACGATCGTTTGTATGGCACCTATAAGATATAGTCGTCCGATTTTCATAAAATTTGACACAAAATTTAAGACTAATATAAAATAGCTATACCTTAAATTTGATGAAAATCAGTTGAAAACTGAAAAAGTTATAAATTTAATTGTATTAATTTCTCGATCGTTCCTATGGGAGCTATATGATATATTAGTCCGATTTTCATAAAATTTTACACAAAATTGTAGAGTATAGTAAAATGGCTATATCTTAAATTTGATCCAATTCTATTGAAAACTGAAAAAGTTAAAAATTTTTTTGTAAAAATTTTACGATCATTCCTATGGCAGCTATATGATATAGTCGTCCGATCCGGCCCGTTCCGACATATATACGAGTGAGAGTATATAGAAGGCTAACTGCAAAGTTTCATTCAGATAGCTTAAAAACTGAGAGACTAGTTTGCGTAGAAACGGACAGACGGACAGACGGACAGACGGACAGACGGACAGACGGACAGAAGGACAGACGGACAGACGGACAGACGGACAGACGGACAGACGGACATGGCTAGATCCACTCGGCTGTTGATCCTGATCAAGAATATATATACTTTATATAGTCGGAGGTGCCTCCTTCACTGCGTTGCAAACTTCTGACTGAAATTATAATACCCTGCAAGGGTATAAATATTATATAGTAAAAATTGTTCACTCACCAAAAACTCACACTCAGAAAAACTTTACTCCACCCTCAGAAAATACTAATATTTATTAAACAGGCAAGAGTATTTAAGAGTATTCCCCTGTTCGTTGTACAAACTCTTGTTCTATTTGTATTATTTCATTTTGGTTTTACTTTTTAATGTACTCTCGTCGACGTTGTGGAAGCAGGAAGCAGCAATGGGCCAGCCAGTGGAGGACAAGCTGATGGCCAAACCCCTTTTGTGGTGGCCATCATCAATGGACGACGTGGCTGCATAATCAAGCGTTGACCACATGCACATCCCAGCCGTGTCCACATCTACTATATGCACATCCACAGGCATGGCAAGGCATGGCATGGCCCAAAACACATCCCCTGGCTACGCCATCCGGCTGAGCTGTTTGCATATTTTGAGTGGACGCAGTTTAGTTTTTAATTTGATGCCTTTGTTTGTTGTCATTCTGTTCTAGCTTGTTGCACACGGCAGCAGCAGCAGCAGAATGCATTCAGGGGTGGTTGGGTGCATTGCACCTGGGAGTGGTGGCTGCCACCATTTGCATGGAAGCACTTTTCCCTGCCCCTTTCCGAAATAAACAAAAAAACCCCTTTGAGCATTTGTTTCATTGTCGCCCGTTATATTGTTGGCTTTTATGCGAAGAATTGTGGCTGAATGTGGCAGCGAATGGCTCACGCTATGGTCAGCATATTAAGGTAATGGCCCGGAAAGTCAGTAGTTGCTGCTGCTGCTCCTCGCTCCCAGTTGTTAACTTGTGCAACTCAGAACCAGAATATGGAGTTCAAATTCCATTTGCACTCATATTCGTCGGGGATTTCCCTGCAGTAACTGCCCATTGAGTGCTACTCGAATGTCCCGTGCAGGTGCTAAAAACCAGGTACTCCGTTTAATGCTCGCTGGGCACTTGCCACAGGAGCTACTTGCAATAACCTCAGGTGTGTCTGCTGTAAAGGTTAAAGTGTCTTTGAGCTCTTAAATTTACATTATCGAAAGGTAAAGAGAGAGATTAACCACACGCATCTTTCTATAAAATGTAAAATAAATTCAATAAAAATTCTATAGCATATATTCTCCACTTTAGAAGGTTTTAATGACTTAAAACTCTCGAAATAAACGGCAACAATCAATGCCCGAACAAAGGAGCAGGTGTCTCTTATCTCTGTCCCCTGTTGACCACTTCGTTACCTTTCTGGCCAGACGGCAGATTATGAGGGCTCCTTCTCATCATCCTCATCAATGCTGAGGGCATTGTAGATTCTACCATATTATAAAGGTATGTATATATACTATATACATATATGCATATGAGATGATTCGAGTCGAGGACAGGGTTCCGGTTCTGTGGCATGCCAGCAAGCACGCGATATTTTTGCAAAAATATCTGCCCGAAAATGAAAGAACGCTGCGCAGGCGCAGTTCCAGCCCGAGCACTAATCATCTGAATGACAACGGCAGCAGCAGAAGCAGCTAAAAAAAATAAGGTAACATCATGGCCAAAACAAGCAACGAGCAACAGCTGAGACAGCCGGCAAACCGGCTGCTGCTAACGGCAGGTGCAAAACATTTACCACTCGAACGAAAATTTCCTACCTGATTTAATCTGCCGCTGTGTAGAGCTGCTTTTGCTCCTTTTTTATACCCATTAATTGTAAAATTCGGGGGTAGATTTGTTGCAGGGACAAGCAGGAAACTGTGACCACTTATGCTTATCAATTTAAGAAAAGGAATAATTGGGAGAAGTTAAGGAAACACTTTTAAATATCTAAAATATTTATAATTTTTGATTAATTAACTAAACAAAATTCTAAATCATGATATAATTTGATATCTAACTCAAAAACGCAATACTATTTACCTTATATTATCTGAATATTTCAATTAATAAGAATTTTTAAATAATATTTCACATATTTAAGTTTCAAATAAGTAAACAGATACTTTCAAATATCATTGAAAATTCATTGTACAATATGTTTTCTACATATTTCCATAGTAATCAATACATAAATTGAAACTACTTAGTCTTGATCTATTTGATCCCTTAAAATAAGGTATTTAATGGTCGTGACACTCATTTGGAATGGTTCTTAATTCTCTTTACTGTTTCCAGGCTCTGTGGCTGAATTTCTGTTGTGTGCGCCTCC